TAAAAATTATGGAGGAATAAGTTTACTGAGTATACCAGGAAAAGTGTACAGTAGGGTTATAATTGAAAGAATTAGAGGTAAGACAGAATGTAGGATTGCGGATGAGCAAGGAGGTTTCAGAGTGGGTAGGGGATGTGTAGATCAAGTGTTTACATTGAAGCATATATGTGAACAGAATTTAGATAAAGGTAGGGAAGTTTTTATTGCATTTATGGATTTAGAAAAGGCATATGATAGTGGATAGAGGAGCAATGTGGCAGATGTTGCAAGTATATGGAATAGGTGGTAAGTTACTAAATGCTGCAAAGAGTTTTTATGAGGATAGTGAGGCTCAGGTTAGGGTGTGTAGAAGAGAGGGAGATTACTTCCCGGTAAAAGTAGGTCTTAGACAGGGATGTGTAATGTCGCCATGGTTGTTTAATATATTTATAGATGCGGTTGTAAAAGAAGTAAATGCTAGGGTGTTCGGGAGAGGGGTGGGATTAAATTATGGGGAATCAAATTCAAAATGGGAATTGACACAGTTACTTTTTGCTGATGATACTGTGCTTATGGGAGATTCTAAAGAAAAATTGCTAAGGTTAGTGGATGAGTTTGGGAATGTGTGTAAAGGTAGAAAGTTGAAAGTGAACATAGAAAAGAGTAAGGTGCTGAGGGTATCAAATGATTTAGATAAAGAAAAATTGGATATCAAATTGGGGAGGAAGAGTATGGAAGAAGTGAATGTTTTCAGATACTTGGGAGTTGACGTGTCGGCGGATGGATTTATGAAGGATGAGGTTAATCATAGAATTGATGAGGGAAAAAAGGTGAGTGGTGCATTGAGGTATATGTGGAGTCAAAAAACTTTATCTATGGAGGCAAAGAAGGGAATGTATGAAAGTATAGTAGTACCAACACTCTTATATGGTTGTGAAGCTTGGGTTGTAAATGCAGCAGCGAGGAGATGGTTGGAGGCAGTGGAGATGTCCTGTCTAAGGGCAATGTGTGGTGTAAATATTATGCAGAAAATTCGGAGTGTAGAAATTAGGAGAAAGTGTGAAGTTAATAAAAGCATTAGTCAGAGGGCAGAAGAGGGGTTGTTGAGGTGGTTTGGTCATTTAGAGAGAATGGATCAAAGTAGAATGACATGGAAAGCATATAAATTGATAGGGGAAGGAAGGCGAGGTAGGGGTCGTCCTTGAAAGGGTTGGAGAGAGGGGATAAAGGAGGTTTTGTGGGCGAGGGGCTTGGACTTCCAGCAAGCGTGCGTGAGTGTGTTAGATAGTGAATGGAGATGAATGGTATTTGGGACCTTACGATCTGTTGGAGTGTGAGCAGGGTAATATTTAGTGAAGGGATTGAAGGAAACCGGTTATTTTCATATAGTCGGACTTGAGTCCTGGAAATGGGAAGAGTCCTGGAAATGGGAAGTACAAGGCCTGCACTTTAAAGGAGGGGTTTGGGATATTGGCAGTTTGGAGGGATATGATGTGTATCTTTATACGTATATGCTTCTAAACTGTTGTGTTCTGAGCACCTCTGCAAAAACAGTGATATGCGAGTGTGGTGAAAGTGTTGAATGATGATGAAAGCATTTTTCTTTTTGGGGATTTTCTTTCTTTTTTTGGTTCACCCTGCCTTGGTGGGAGACGGCCGACTTGTTGAAAAAAAAAAAAAAATTGTTTTTCTTGAACACTCTGGGAGTTTCAGGGTGATACACCAGTAAAGGCTTAACTTTGCAATCCCCACTAGCATTAGAAAATATGAGAGTTAGCCTGTTTTTCATAGGCTTGTGTCCTGTGAGTGCTTTTTCCTCCTGAGTAATGTAGGTCCTGTTTGGCATTTTCTTCCAGAACAGGCCTGTTTCGTCACAAACACTTGTTGGGATTTTAATTTTTCAGCCTCTATGTACCCCTTAAAGTCCTGCACATATTTTTCAGCCGCTTTTTTGTCAGAACTGGCAGCCTCACCATGGCTTATCACACTATGTATGCCACAACGATTCTTAAATTTCTCAAACCAACCTTTGCTAGTCTTAAATTCACTAACATCAGCACTAGTTTCAGGCATTTTCATTAGATCATGCAACTGCCTTGCCTTTTCAGATATTACTGACTTAGAAACACTATCACCTGATAATTTTCTCATTGATCCACACCAACAACAGTCTCTCCACATCTTCGAGTATTTGAGATCTTTTGTTTTGTAAGCATACTTGCACCACTAACCTTTGCAACTTTTCTTTAGAATCTCCCATAAACACAGTAATATCAGCAAAAAGCAACTGTCAACTCCCAATTTGTATTCAGTTACCCATAATTTAATCGTACCCCTTTCCCCAACACCCTAGCATTTACTTCCTTTACAACCACATCAGTAAATATATAAACCGTCTGACTGTTTTTGACGTATATATGCATCTTAAGAGCCAGTGTTTTTTCAATGTATATATACTCCAAACTTCTAGCAGCTTCAGATCAAGCAGGAGAAAGCTGGTAGGCCCACATGTGAGACAATGGGTCTGTGTGGTCAGTGTGCACAGTACAAAAAAAAAAATCTTGCAGCATGCAATGCATGAGAAAAAAAACTCCGACCGTGGTTTTGGATTATAACTTAGAGGTGTATTTTCGTATGGTATTTATGGCTGCATTCTCGTATACTTGGTCTCATTTGATAGAAAGGGAGACATTACAGAAATAGAGATGATTTTCATTGGTTTCATGATGTAAAGGACCTTGAAAATGAGCAAAGCAACATAAATGTTCGATTTCTGCTGATGCTTGAGAGTAAACAAATTATATCATTGTCCAATAAGAGTCTCAACTAGCCATTCTAACACACAGTCATGAGTGGGATGACATTATTTATACAATTATTACAATAATGCAGTAGTCACCATAACAGGAAATCATTTTTTTTTTTTTTGTGAGAAAGAGAAAGAGAAAGCAAGAGTAATAGAAGAGGGGTCTGGAGATGTGACATAAACAGAGAAAATGTTATTTTAGTGCCAGGAATGTCTGCATTGTTCATTCTGGATCCTGTTTTGAAACTGGCATCTTTTTTAATTTGTGTGAAATTGGCCAAATTGCCAATTTCTAACCACTTTATTGGGTAGTTGAAATTGGAAAAATGGGCAGTTTCTTGTACTCAAGCTATAGAATAAATGGAGTTCTAAAGAAATAGCTACGAATTTGGCCGAGTATAACAATGGAATTGGCCAAAAATAGGGCTCAGAGTGGGCGAAAGTGTTGATGCGTAAATATCGCCGAGATCGCTAACTTTGCGAGAGCATAATTCCGTAAGTTTTCAATCAAATTTCATACTTTTGGTGTCATTACCATCGGGAACAGATACCCTATCATTTCATATATTTTTTTTTTAAATTCTCCGACACTGAGAGCAAGTTTGTGAGCAGGGGTCTCGACAGTCAAAGGGTTAAATAACCATAGTGACATTACACATCCCTGTCCAAGACCTACTTTTACCGGGAAGTAGTCTCCCTCTCTTCTACACACCCTAACCTGAGCCTCACTATCCTCATAATATGCACTAGTATGTGATGATAATGTTAGCTATGACCTCCCTCTTCCTCTATATATATATATGCTTCCTTCTACCATTTTTGCATTACAAAAATTCTCATTTGCAAACCTTTGCTTTTTTTTCCCTTACCCTACCCTGTTTAACTCATCGTTTCACTAATTATTCCTCCAACCAGCCTCACCCACCCACTCTTATCCACAAACTCTTGTTGTGTAGTCTAACACTGCAGTCTTAAATTTACCCTATATCATTTTGATCTCTTCCTCATTTTCTATTTTGTATAGCCCACGTTTCTCCATATAGTTTCTTACATTTTTTCCCCTAACTATTTTGTAGTTCTTTGCTTTCACTTCTCTCATACCAACTGATCCCATTCTCCTTGTATTTCATCTGTGCTGTACTCTTAATGTAACTAATGCCTATTGTAAACAGCTTTTTCAGCCTCTCTCCAGTCATATACAGTAGGGCTTTGGCGTATGATAATGCATTCCAGAAAATTCATTGTAAGTGGATTGTTCAGTACACTAAACTTTTTTCTGACCACAAAAATGTTTAGTATAATTTTAGTTATTTTTTCTTTAAGATTTTTTTAACATTGGCCATTTTCCACTGAGGTAGGGTGAACTGAAAAAAGAAGACATGCTTTTCACCATAACTCAGTCCATCTTTGTCTTGCGAGAGACATGCTGATGGAACAGTTCAGATGCTCCTCCAAACTGCAACATCCCCATCCCCCCTTCAGAGTGCAGGCATTAGACTTCCCATCTCCAGAACTAAAGTCTAGCTTACCAGTTTCCCTGAATCCATTCATATTCCTTCTTATTTTACATTCAGTGCTGTTCCTTTTCACTTACAAATAGCATTAAACATAGTTTAATTAATGGGGTGGGTGTGGTGTGTGGGTGTTGTGTAAACTGGTGCTCTGCTGAATTATTTGTGTGTGTGTGTGTGTGTGTGTGTGTGTGTGTGTGTGTGTGTGTGTGTGTGTGTGTGTGTGTGTGTGTGTGTGTGTGTGTGTGTACGTACGTACGTACGTGTACTCCCCTAGTTGAGGTTGCAGGGGTCGAGTCCAAGCTCCTGGCCCCGCCTCTTCACGGGTCGCTACTGGGTCACTCTCCCTGAACCGTGAGCTTTATCATACGTGTGTGCGCGCGTGGAGGGGTTCAGATTTTATTCCATTGTTCTTTTGAAGACTTCATGATATGGAATGTTAAAATTTATAAATTTAACTTGCATTTAATATTTGCATACCTTTGCTTAATTATTGATTTGTTTTCCAGTTTACTAGGTTTGGTCTAGGACTGGGCCATTGAAGGATAGGGGCTAGTCCTGAATCATTAACAGATACTTGCACTGTATAGTGGGAAAGCAAACTGAGAGCATCTACCTCAGTCATTCTGATTTAAATCTTATTTGTTGTAATGTAATGTAGTTTGTTTTAGAATAAGATGTGATTTGTTTTTCTTCAAAAACAGTTGGTGAGGTGGCATATGTGGAAATGTTTAATGATGAAAACAACCGCCCTCGAGGATGTGCAGTTATTGAATTTGAATCTGTGGATCTCGTGTCTAAAGCTGTAGATACCATGCATAGATACGAGTTGAAGGGCCGCAAGCTGGTTGTGAAAGAGGTAAGGTTTTAATTTAATCTACTTCTGGTTGATAATAAGTATGGTTATATATTATAAGGACTATGAAACAGAAATGGATTTCAAAGATTAGAAAAGGCCTAACATAAATGTTACTGGCAAGTCATTTCTAATTTCTAAAACATATTGGCAAATTGAGTTTCTCTTATATAAAAATATTTATCTGGTAATATTGTTTAATGCAAGTAAACACTTCACCAATTCTGTCATTAAACATGCTTTTTTTATTGATGTTATTAAACTTTGTAATTTTGCCAGGTTAACTCTATTGTTATTTGCTGTTTGATTCGTCTCCTTTTGTGTGTGTGTGTGCGCACGTTTTGGCTTCATTGTTTGTCTTGCTCTTGCAGTCTCTACGCTCTTTCTCGCTCTCATGCTCACTTGCTGTTGTTCTCCCTCGGGCTCGTTTTCTTCCTCTTCCTCTCGCTCTAGCTCACTCTCTTGCTATGACTTGCTTCCCCTCTCACTCTTGAGTTCTCTTGCTCTCTCGCTCTGCAATCTTCGCTGATTGTCTTGGTTGGTGTCTTTTGTTGGATCTTGGTTCTGTTAACACTGATTCTGAATGTGCTGTTTAAGCTTTTGGTGTACTGGAAAGTGAACAGGCAAAGGTTGAAGTGAAGGTTGCTAAAACTAGCTTGGCCTTGTAGTGGATTCATGGGCCATTTGCATATGTTTGCCCTTTGAAATTGGCAGGCTTGGTAGGCCTAACAAACCTGAAGCAAGTTATACAGAGTTCGGAACGACATGGGTGTTTAGCCCTCCTTCAATAGTAATCATCACTGAGGTGAATCTCTTAATCTTCTGAGGATTAGGCATGCACATTTCATCCACAGCCCATTGTTTGCAACAACCTCTGTCCCTCTGTAGGTTGTAGTGTACAGTTAACTGTTAACCACATTTTAACTGTTTGCCATTGACTTTGGCCTTTTTGCTTTTGTCGTGGTTTTATAATTACTGGAGTTCCTGTAAGGATCTCTGGAACTGCAGTTGAGAGTTAGTTGACAGTGACAGTTTAAAGAGAATTACTCACTGATGCTGGCTATTTGAGCTTTATTTTTTCTGGTAAAAGTAATAAGTTACATTGTCAATGTGCTCCTCAAATTTCATAACTGCTAACCCATTCTTTTTTCTTATTTTACTCTTTTCTTGACAAAATGGTAACGTATGAAAGGGCAGTTTTCTGCATACGATAGTAGACTAATATTTTTCATACAGCTTCATAGTTGTACACATGTAGTGGCCATTAACTCATCTAATTGATACTCAGTTCATTTCATGTATTGGCAGACATATTCTGAGACTTTGGATGTCTTCATTTATTCAAGCTCGGAGTATTTTATTGTTATCTTCTGGTATCTGGAAAATGCAATTATTTACAAACCCCCACAATACAAAGCAGAAAGGCATTCAAAGGGAGTGTAGGGACAATCAAGTGTTTTCATGTATTTTGTTGAATTACCTTTGATGGGTTTCGAGAGTTTTCATATTTTTTTTTTTCAACATGACAGCCACTTCCCACTGAGGCAGGGTGACCCAAAAAAGAAACTCGCCATCATTCAACACTATCATTCACACAATATCACTGTCTTTGCAGATGTGCCCAGGCATGACAGTTTAGATGTCACTTAAATTTGGGGAATTAAAATGAGTATGTGAATTATTCTCTGCACTCGACTGTATCCTTCACTACCCTGATCTGAACGTGTTCCAGTATCACTGATGGCATTATAACTAATTAATAGGATTGTAGATCCTGTGGCATAATAGTAACACCAAAGTACTATGAGAGCTTGAGCCTTTTTGAAGGACCATACAAATTTAATTGCACTGAAGTTTACTAATGCTCGGTAGTTTATAGATCATTTATTGTCTTATCCCACAATAACACTTAAAAACAAAGGTTTCGGTTTATAAAATTAAAAGGCATGAACATGTAAACTTCCCAGGCTCACCTTTACGTACAGGTGATGTTCTGCCTAGAGAATTACTTAACAGGTTTCTCCCCATTATACACATCAACCAGGCTGTGATGGATATGTGGGGCAGCGGGCCTCCAGCAGCAACAGCCTGGTTGACCAGGCGAGCCTGGCCCATGGCCGGGCTCAAAGAGTAGATATACTCTAGAAATTCTTCAAAGGTATAAGGTATCCTTGTGAAGCATCACAAATTCATATAAAATATAATGGAAATGAGTGGTACTTTCCTACGGAGTGGGTAGAATTAAAGTTCCTGGAGTTTTTGGTCTGGTGAATCCATGGGACTTGCATCTGTGGTTGTCAATATTGAGAACTGCATGTTTTGGCTATCCCTCAGGTTGTGGTATTCATCTACATAACATTTAAACATTGAATATTGAGGAAAGCCTAATCAGGGCACTGAAAAACATGATAAAGGATCAGAATTAACACTCTACTTAAATGCCCAAATCGTTGTTCGCTACTCAGTCCCACCAAAAACCGAGTAGGTCCTTCCTGGGATCCTGAATCTTAGCTCAAGGCTGTGATTAATTACAGAATGCTGCTGGGTTCATTAACTATCTGTTTCTCTTTTCAGAAACTAATTTAAATCAGAATGAATATATCTACTAGGAAATTTGGTAGAAGTGGGAACAGAATGTGAATTATGTAATAGAGCAGAATGCACAAGGTCAGAAAAGCATTGTATCATCCTCATGTTAAACACGTAATATTATAATACAATACATTAACACTTCGTCAATTAATGATGTAAATATATTCTTATATTAAATAAAAATAATTTTTTTTAATGTCAGCCGTCTCCTATCGTGGAAAGATAATTATCCTACATAATTAAAATGCTAAATGTTTATCTGATTAAATATACTTTAATAGTAATTATTAATGACAAATCTGTTAAGTATTTTTTAAAGTATGTATGTCCTTGCTTCTGTGGATATCAGACACTTTTTCAACACCATATTTCTCACACACTTGTGCCAATGATATGCCAGCATCAGATTCTTGTTAGTTCAAGTTTCTGATTAACGCAAAGAACCACTTTTCTGTGGGCACCTCCATTTACTTTAAAATCCATTATTAATTGCACGTTATGTTGAGGTGGTTTGGTCATTTAGAGAGAATGGATCAAAGTAGAATGACATGGAAAGCATATAAATCTATAGGGGAAGGAAGGCGGGGTAGGGGTTGTCCTCGAAAGGGTTGGAGAGAGGGGGTAAAGGAGGTTTTGTGGGCGAGGGGCTTGGACTTCCAGCAAGCGTGCGTGAGCGTGTTAGATAGGAGTGAATGGAGACGAATGGTACTTGGGACCTGACGATCTGTTGGAGTGTGAGCAGGGTAATATTTAGTGAAGGGATTCAGGGAAACCGGTTATTTTCATATAGTCGGACTTGAGTCCTGGAAATGGGAAGTACAATGCCTGCACTTTAAAGGAGGGGTTTGGGATATTGGCAGTTTGGAGGGATATGTTGTGTATCTTTATATGTGTATGCTTCTAGACTGTTGTATTCTGAGCACCTCTGCAAAAACAGTGATAATGTGTGAGTGTGGTGAAAGTGTTGAATGATGATGAAAGTATTTTCTTTTTGGGGATTTTCTTTCTTTTTTGGGTCACCCTGCCTCGGTGGGAGACGGCCGACTTGTTGAAAAAAAAAAAAACGTGAAATGCTCTGAATCCAGGGGAGTTGAGACTGACGAGTGAATACATGAGAGCACAATCAAACTGGCAGCGGTGGCCTACACCATGTGTTAAGAAACAATGTAAACTAGTTGTTCACAAGGCTGATTTTGCTGGAACTGGTTTGGACTTCACAAATGACATTCATAAGCCTAGGGAAGTAATGGATTTGTCAGTTAAAAACAGAGTAGGCGAGTTAGTAGATGGGGAGCTGGAGGTGCTAGATAGATGGCGGGAATATTTTGAGGAACTTTTAAATGTCGATGTAGTAAGGGAGGCGGTAATTTCATGCACTGGTCAGGGAGGTATAACATCTTTTAGGAGTGAAGAAGAGCAAGACATGAGTGTGGGGTAGGTGTGTGAGGCATTACATAGAATGAAAGGGGGTAAAGCAGCTGGACCTGACGGGATCATGACAGAAATGTTGAAAGCAGGGGGAGATAGTGTTGGAGTGGTTGGTATTTTTGTTTAATAAATGTATGAAAGAGGGGAAGGTACCTAGGGATTGGCAGAGCTTGTATAGTTCCTTTATATAAAGGGAAGGGGGACAAAAGAGATCGTAAAAATTATAGGGGATTAAGTTTGCCGAGTATACCAGGAAAAGTGTACGGTAGGGCTATTATTGAAAGAATTAGAGGTAAGACAGAGAGTAGGATTTCGGATGAGCAAGGTGGCTTTAGAGTGGGTGGGATGTGTAGATCGTGTTTACATTGAAACATATGTGAACAGGATGTAGGTAAAGGCAGGGAAGTTTTCATTGCATTTATTGATTTAGAAAAGGCCTATGATAAGTCGATAGGGGAGCAGTGTGGCAGATGTTGCAAGTATACAGAATAGGTAGAAAGTTACTAAATGCTTTAAAGAGTTTTCATGAAGATAGTGAGGCTCAGGTTAGGGTGTGTAGAAGAGAGGGGGTTGTATAAGAAGTAAATGGTAGGGTGCTGGGGAGAGGGGTGGGATTACATTATGGGGAATCAAGTACAAGATGGGAGTTGGCAGTTACTTTTTGCTGATGATACTGTGCTTATGGGAGATTCTAAAGAAAAGTTGCAAAGGTTAGTGGACGAATTTGGGAGGGTGTGTAGAGGTAGAAAGTTGAAAGTGAACATAAAATAGAGTAAGGTGATAAGGGTATCAAATGATTTAGAATTTAGATAAAGAAAAATTAGATATCACATTTGGAGAGTGGGAGTATGGAAGAAGCAAATCTTTTCAGATATTTGGGAGTTGTGTCAGCAGATGGGTGTATGAAGGATGAGGTTAACCATGGAATTGATGAAGGAAAAAAGGTGAGTCCTGCGTTGAGGTATGTGTGGACATAAAAAAAC